TGTTGGTATGTCAAAATCTTCAAGATTACCTTCAGCAGCTGTTATTAATGGTGATGTAATCATTGTGGTTTGATTGTCTAACAACTTGAGGCGAATCGCAGCATTGGTTATCTGGTCACATGGTATTATTTTCTTAGGTAGCTTAAGAATTACTTATTTATCTTGAGCTATTTCTGTTGCTACTTATTGTAGATTTATTTCAAAATCAGGATCAATTTAAGTTTGGTCATCTTCAAATTTGTCTTAAAATCATATTCTAGCAAAGTAGCATTTTTCTATTTTATCTACTATTAAACTTCTTCAACCTATTCTTTTCTTAAAATTTCCAACATGCTCTGTTCTCTTTCTTTAATTCTTGCTTCATGTGCTTGTCTTGCAATTTTTATTTTGGCTTTGGTTTCAAAAATTTTATTATGTCCATCCATATATGCTCTTCTTTCCTGTTTTTTGTAAAATCTAAAAATGGATATCATCTTGTTTTTTTCTTTCTGACAAAAATCTTGATTTCTTTAATTCATGTGTCATGTCAGGTGCAACATTGTCTGTATTTAGTTTTTATGCATGCCATATTCCAAAAAAACAAAGACTGCATCAACTGCAACATAAGCAATATTCTCATTCTTCACTTTATTTTTAACATTTTTTGGATCGTTTCTTAGAAATTAGACATTTCATAATTTGCCTACAATCAGACAGTTTGGCCCTATTAATTGATGTTGAAAGATGACCAATGAACCAGAAATCAGTTAACTTTCTTGTCACAGGTCTGCTTGGAGTACCTTTATGTGAGCTAGAAGTACTAATATTACTTATTGTCTTACCTTGGCGAAAGTGAATTTTCTTTTGATTCTTTTTGTCTTCTGTACTTTGCTGTGATGGTGGTTTGGTGTGGTTGTGGCCACAGATAATGATGATAGCTACAGTTTTCCTGTCATCTTTGCTGCAATGGCTTCTTACTACTTTGAGTCAACATTTTTCAATGATAAAATTAATTTTAATCTTTCACCAAACAGTGTCAAAACTCGAATAATACAATTAGAAGCCACTGAAATCAGAACTTTTTTAGAAATGATTCTTTGATTATTGCTATTCTAAAAAAAAAAAATGCAAATTATGCGAAAAATGTTCATGTTCAGAGACTTTGGGAGACCTCAGCATCACTTATCTAAAATCTGAAAAAATTGTGTTTAGACATAGTATTGATAGTATAATGGGAAAAACTACACTTCATGACATTTTAACACTTCATACTATATCCTGGACAACCCTGATATATACAGTATTGGCCATTAATAACAATCCAGCATTTTTTTTTTTTTAAATCATTGGACATTAAATCAAAAATTGATATTAAATCAATAATTGTTTGACTCTTTATAAATATAAAAAATGTATACTGATAAGCATTCTATTTTCTTTCAAATAAATACTGATATTCAAAAAAATATTATTCCATGTTCTAGTTATATTGCTTTTTTTTGTTATATATCTCATAATCTAAAATAATAATTAAAAATCCAATGTAATATTTCAAACCTCCTTAAAAAATTTCATTTGTTTTTGATTGAAATTTTGCACTAATTTGCAAACAATTTCTAATTATTTGAGAATTTTTATTTAAATTGTTACCAATAAAATAAAATAGAAAAATCAGTATCTCATTAACTACAATACTTCAGCAATAAGACCATCAAATTGACTGGAAAAATTGTTGATAATATAACAAAATGTAAAATCATAGTAATGAATGAACAAAACATCTTAATGAGAGAAACTGGAAAATATTTTAACACAACAAATGCCACTTTTAGCAGAATAATCAGCCAATATTAAAGATACAATACAATTCAAAATCTTTTAAGTCCTGGAAGACTCAGCATTTCAAATAAAAGAAATGAATGTTCACTTATTTGCATAGTGAAAAAAAAAAGAAGTTTATCATCTACTGATCTCAGTCAACAAGCACAAAAAGCTTCTGGTGTTGTTGCTAGTGCTCAAACAGTTAAAAGAGTACTTCAAAGACACAATTATATGTGGCAAGTTGCTTGGGAAAAAGCCGAGTCTATTGATAAAACATCAGAAAACAAGAAAAAACTGGTGTTTAGCTCATAAAATTTGGTCTATGAGCATGTGGCACAACAATCTTTTCAAAGATGGAAGTTGATTTAAGAAAAAACCAACTAATGCTGAAAAGAAAACCACATTACTAAATGGACCTTAATTGCTCTACGAATAGAACAAAATATGGTAGTGCTAGTATCGACATCTGGGCCTGCATGAATTATGAAGGTGTTGATCGTTTCAAAATGTTTGATGGAAGGCTTGATTCTCTGAGATATTTAGACATATTAGATAGTTATTTGATGCCTTTTATTGACATTTTCCAAAAGACATGGGAATCTTCCCACATTATAATGCTACATGCTGCTAAAATTTGTAAGCAATTGTTTAAAGAAAACAACATTAAAACCATGTCTTGGCCTGCCAATAGTCCAGATCTCAATTACATAGAGAATTTGTGGTCTGGGTTAAACCACAATCTTGATAAAATTAAAATAAACGATCTGAGCTGGCTGAAAAAATTTGTTGCAAAATTACTGAATAGTGATCCAAAAGAGATTGCTCAAAATTTAGTGAATTCCATGCATGAATAATACCAATAAATGCTTAAAAAAACAAAGGGTTGTCAACAAAATATTAATTTTTTTTTTTAATGTTTCCTAAGTATTTTTTTATTAAGGTTTGTTAGTTTTGTTTTTGTGGTTAGTTTATTTTGGTAAAAATTTTTTTTTGATACAAATGAACACTTGTTTTAATTTCAATATTTTAGTTTTTAATTATTTTAATTAAGTTATTACTTTATAACAAATTCATATTGTTAAAAAATTTAGGAAATAATCACTTTTAGGTTATAAAATATTCGATTTCAAACTTATACTCATACTAAAATTACATGATGGATCGTTATTAATGGCCAATACTGTATATACATATATATGTATATATACATATATAATTTTTAAATTCGAATATATATATATATATATATATATATATATATATATATATATATATATATATATATACATATATATATATATATATATATATATATACATATATATATATATATACATATATATATATACATATATATATATATATATATATATATATATATATATATATATATATATATATATATATATATATATATATATATATATATATATATATATATATATATATATATATATATATACATACATAAATAAGGTAAAAATCATGTAGTGAAGGTGATTAGGTTTGCCTGCAAAACGAGTCATAAGGTTAACTATCTGAGTAAGAGATTGAAAATAAGTTTTGAACTTTAATTCCAGCAGGGCTAGTGGTACAAGAGTCAACCCATTCAGTGAGATAAGCAGTCTCCAATAACAACAAAATTGGCTGGTAGGTAAAGAAATAGGGCTTTTGAATTTTATAGACTTACTATTATTTGAAAATTTCATTTTATTAATATCTCCTTGAGGGGAATTGGCTGGTAGGTATAAGAAATGTTAATTTGATCAGATATAAAATTAAAAAGAGTAATGATAAAGAACAGATAAAGCTGATTGAGTGAAGAAGTTCTAAACGAAGCCCATAAAAGAATGGTCAGAAGATTGAAACCTGTTTTCATGACAAATAGGTAGTTTGATAAATAAGTATTTGCCCAGGTCAATCATGTGACTATTGGAGTTTTTGTGAGTCTTAAGAGAATAACTGTTAACACTGAGATCCAAATATGAAAGAGTCAAATTTAAATTTAAATAGTCTCACAAAGCGTAAGTGTGTTGAATTTTGAATGAGATTCAACAAAAAGTTACTTTAAAGACCACATATGTTTGAACCAATTAGGTGGTGATCATGGTTTTTTATGTTTAATATTTTTCATACTTTAGTATGTTAGTATTTTTTAACTTATTAGAGAACTTGACTCTTATTATATACAGATAGTGTATGGTACCCAAAGCAAATGGCACCTTTGGCACCCAAAGACTCTTATAGTGCATGGCACCCAAAGACTCTTATAGATAGTGCATGGCAACCAAAGTACATGGCACAAAAAGCAACAAGATATGCAGTTGCCTCGTTTTTTTGGTCTCAAAATTACACTAGAGGCACCAACTGTGCCAGCCAGCCTCAAAAACCATTATACTGATTTTCAAAACTGTACCCTTATTAGGAGATAACAGAAAGTGTTGCAAAGTCAATATTTAAAGAGGCACAAGCCTAATAGATGAAGGAGTGTACAAATTTTTCTGTACAATATAATTTTTCTGCTTACCCATAAAATCTTGAAGAATTAACTTCTTGTTGTTTTTGTCTAGAAAAACAAGTCCTATAAAGCAGTAGGACATAGGCCGGTTGGTACTAGATTACATGTTACTAGTAGCAGAGTGATAATGATGACCCTGAACCTGACCTGACCTATAAGAATTCATAAGAATTCTATTAATTGCTATTCATTTGCTAAATAAGTCATTTGCTATTTTTAATTTATTTTCTATTTTTATCATTGATATCAATTGAGAAAAGTTGGCTATGTTCAGAGAAAAAAATCCCCCTTTATGCTTTTATTGACTGTTTAATTTTTTTTTTATGTAAATATTAGATTCAATATATTATAAAATAATAGAGTAAGTAATTAATGAAGTGATATACCGCAAAAGAGGGAAACCGTTTGTACTGTAATGATTACTTAGGCTGCCGGAGACAGTTTTTTGCACAATTTAAATTGATTTTTTCTTGTAACTGAACCCTAAACCAATACATTGTGTTCTTGCATCTTATCCATTTGTCAAAAAGTGGATTTATAAAAGTAAAGTGTTGAAAAGTTATTTATAAATTTTGATTGGTTGCTATATTGCAATCAAGGTTAGAAATAAAAATACTTTTTTTCACTAATGTTTGGCCAAGGGCATTTCCTTAATAAAAATAATTGTTATTATTTACTTTAGATTCAAAGAATAGCAGGTTTACCAAGTTCTAATTTAGCATTAAGGACCTTAATGGGTATAAATGATATTTTAGGTCCTGAAGATATATTCAATGGTAATTTTTTTTTTTTTTTTTTGTCAAATAGTAAAAAATTATTTTTTTTTTATTTTTGTTTTAGAATCGCTTTTATTTTACTAATTTTCTATAAATTTTTATTAACAAAAAAAGTCTCATGAGATATGAAATTATAAGTTTCAATATTCTCACTTTACATTCAATTTTTGATAAATGAGTCAGATCTTATTGCCTCTCATAAGGATAAGGCTGAAGAATTTACAAAGAACCTTTCCTCTAACTCATCTTTTAAATCTAATGAACACTCTTCCTGTCATCCCAGAGAAACAGCTTAATCCATTGTTAGAAACAGGTTAATCCATTTGCCTTGGTAATAAGTCTAAATTTACTATATATTTTTTTATAGATGTGTCTGAAGAGCTTGAGGATTACCGAGTTTTTGGTGATGGCAGATTTTAGTTCGCTTTTGCTTTAACATGACGTTATTTTACTTTTTTTATTTTGAATAAATGTTTTATTGTAGTTGGTTGTCATTAAATGTGAATATAAATTTATAATAACAGTTAATTTCAAAATATACCAATTATTATGGAAGCCTTAATTATTCGTTTTGCCATAGTAATTAGTAAGTGATTATATATAAGTAAGCTATAGTAATTATTAAGTTTCATAGATGAGTTTTTTCCGGGAATTTTGAGAATTTCCGGAAATTCACTTGAAACTCCTTTAATTTTCCAGAAATTTCCGGATGTTTTTGTTGTTAATTTGAAAAAAGTTATTCAAAACTTTAAACAATATTTGCATTTAAAACCTTAACAAAACTTTAAACAACATTTTCATTTAAACAAATATGTTTTCTACAATTGAAATTTTCATTAGATCAATTTTCGTGAAAATTTTTTTTTTTCTTTTTTTTTTCTTAATTCAAATTTTTCGAATATTAGAAATTCATTTTTGTAAAAAAGTTAAATAATCTAAAATGTGTTTTAAAGGTTTACAAAAGTTTAAAAATTTGAAAAAAATGGAATTCCATCGGAAAAACAAAAAATTTGAAGAACGTTTTTATAATGTAAATTCAACGCGGAAAAAAAAGATTGCCTCACATGAACGGTGCAAAACAGGTAAAGAATCTAATTGCAGAAAAGAAAAACTGAAGAATGTTTTTCAGCATAAAGTTATAAGAATAAAAAGTAATAATTTCTGAACGACTGTCTGACATTTTATATTTAAAAAGTAAATAAATTATTAGCTTTTGCAGATTCTTTACGGTAAAATTGAGATATTATATTTGATTTTAGAGAATTTTAGAGAAACATAATTGTTCATTAGTGTTTAGTTACTTTATTTATCCCTTTACCAACGTTCCAAAATTTACCCAAATACCTTTGTCAAATTGTTGATCGTATAATTTTCCGGATTTTTATTGAAATAACTTTACGGGATTCTCATAGAAAAAAATTTCCGGGTTTTTCATAAAGTCAAAAATCATCTATGAAGTTTGCAAACCCAAAAATTATAAGATTTAGCAGGGGTTGATAGCCGGGGCTAAAAATAAAATTATAATGCTGAATATACTATAATTTTATGCTTACATTTGCTATTTATTAAATATTGGCATACATTTATATATTTTTAAAATCTAATTTACTTTCAACAAGCTTGCAAGCAACCACTATTAAGTTATGAGTTACTTTAAAATAGAGAACAAGTTAAAATACTAGGAAACGTATAACTGAAGACTTAACAAGTTGAAGGTTGTATAAAAAAGAAAAAAATAAAGATGGGTAAGAGTCATAAGGTTTTTTTGATGCTCAAGGAAAAAAACTGAATTAATAAAAGTTTTTATAGCATAAAGGGACAGATAAAGTAAAAGAATGCAACCTATTGAATAAAAGGCCAAGATGAATTTTGGTTTATCGTTATAGAGATAATAGCTTGTTTGAGCATTAACCATAATTGTATTTGTAGAAAAAAGAAAGAAATGCAGCCTTACAACAATGGGAGAGTTGCTCAAGCTTGGTAGATAAAGCAGGTCTAATTACATTTATAATGTGCTTTTAGACTTGAGATTAAGAGTTATTCGTCAATATAGGAATGCCAACAATATTGCAATATTTTTTTGTAGTAAATAAATAAGTTTTATTGTCTCAAAAAAATTTTAAGTCCAGAATTTAAATCCATTAGCCACTGCAAGCCTTAAAACAAGCTACCTTAGGCTGTTACAGAAGAAAGATCAGATTTAAAATCAGCTTCTTGCTCCAATCAATTAAAAAAGGTAGATTTTTTGTCAAGACAAGAGTATAAAGTTGAGTCATCAGTAAATAGAGCCACTTTAGATACAACCTTGTAGTACCATTTAAAATAAAGTGTAGGCCTTCAAGAATAACTTTTAGAACAGTTAGAAAGATTTAATAACCTCAAAACCTCAAAATAACAAGAAACTAATAACAGAGTGAAGACTAATCGTAGGATAGTTAGAAAGGTCGAAGTGTTTTCTAGAGTTTTGAAAAAATGGAACCACTTATTTAGCACTTATTAATGGTTTAGTAAAAATTAAAAAGTGTTCTGAAAAATACTTTTGTAAGACTATGATGGAAAGTTTGTCTGGAGCAGAGTGATTTTGATGTTTAACAATGGTTTAATCTGTTTAATTGTCAGGAAGAGTATGGCCATTATATTCAAAAATCAAATTAGAGTAAGATTTCTTTGCAAATAAATCTGCTTTATTCAGGGGAGAAGTAAAAAGATCAGATCCATGAATTAGAGATTAAATGTTAGACTTACTTTAGTTAATGACACTGTTAAAGACTGAACAAAAGTTGCTAGAACCTAACATCTGAGATAAGATACAAGACTTAGTAAACTGAGAATAACAGAACAGAACATCAGACAGGACTTTTTTACATTGGCTTTTTGCGGTAATAAAAAGACAATTGCTCTTAAGAGCTCTTAAAAAAGATGAAAAAAATGATTGTTTAATAAAGCAATTACTCAAGATGGCGCAAAATGTGGAGTAGAATAAGATTTGACTTAAAAATGGCAGTGGTAGAAGTAAGAAAACTTGAAGAGGGTGTCTTACATATTGTACTTTAGTTAATTAAAAAAATGCTCTAGATTGTTTATATTAGAGAAACAGCATAAAAGAGGTAGGCTAAAGCCTAATGACGATGATCGTCATCAGCACCAAGCCCCGAAATATTTATGCAGCCGAGGTCACAAACCCGGCCCCGGCTATATTTTATCAAACCCAGCCCCGGTCAAATATCATCCCCGGTCACTTACTAATAATAAATCCCTATTGCTTTCACAGAAAGCGAGGTTTTTTAACATTTTTTAAACACTGTAACTGATAATTTGAGATTCAACTAATATGAGTTTTTCTGTTTTTTTTTCTTACCAATGAAGCTTATTGGGCTGGAGACTCTAACCACTGCGCTACGGTTGCAAATTTTCTTCATAAATTCAATTTATATTTCCTCCCTTAGAATTTTTATAAAACAAACGCGGTTGAAAGATATGATGAAAAATGACCCGGAAAAATTGTACCGGGGGTGGGGTGGGGGAGAGAGAGCAGTGAAAGTACAATATTTCCTTAATTTAACGACTAGTCTGAAAGTTAGTTTAGTTATTGTTTTTTACGAGTAATTAGATTGGAATATTTTTTTGAAGTTGTTTAATTTAATGGGGTATAACCTCATAGACAAAAAAATCTTCAATATTGATATTTAAACAATTTTTACTACATTTACTGTAAATATACAATAAAACTACTCCACATTTTTCACCATCTTGAGTAATTGCTTTATTAAACAATCATTTTTTTCATCTTTTTTAAGAGCTCTTAAGAGCAATTGTCTTTTTATTACCGCAAAAAGCCAATGTAAAAAAGTCCTGTCTAATGTTCTGTTCTGTTATTCTCAGTTTACTAAGTTGAAAAAAAATATTGGGGACGCAATGGGGGCGAGTAGTAGCGGAAACTAAAAAACTGCCAATTATGTGGCAAAAATATTCCAAAATGTAAGCGATAACGTGGAATAAAATTTTGCATATAACTAGCTTGATGTTAGAGGTATGCAATGAACCTCAAAAACTTCATAACTAACTTACTCCTTAAGACCATGCTTCATTTCTTTAAATGATTTAAAAGCGATGCTAATTTTACCCCCCCCCCCCCCCCATGGTGACTAAAAAATGCCTATATATTTTGATTTTAACGCATACATTCATATAATTTTGAAGTTTAATACACAACTTGATACATAATCAACAAACTGTCAAAATATGATAAGTTTTGATCAAACCGTTTCTGAAATATCATTTCACAGTCAAGCAAAGTTAGTAAAATATTGATATCTCATAAAAAAACGTTTTAAAAAAACTTGTGGAAATTCTATGATAACAATAATTATATTTGACATGAACTTTTTTATCTATTAACTATAGCACTACAGACTATAATCAAATATTAGATGCGTGTTCTATACATACTATATACCCTGTCATACGCAAAACATTTAACTACTAGTGTCAAAACTTTATCTTTTCCAATCTTTCTTTCAGAGCCATTAAAGCTAAAAACTGTACATTACAACTTAAGTTCAAAAGCAATTCCTAACTTCTGATTTTGATTTAGCTTTATTGAATGAGGACATATGCACACTCTGGGCGCAAAAGAATGTTGAAAATCTTAGCTAACATTATAATCTTAACTATACGGTTTCCTGTAATTTTTTTTTTTTACAACAGTCATCAATTACTTCAATCTTTGAACCATTTAACTTCTTATCAGAAACTATTTTGCGTTGTTATCTTTAATTGTAATTCCAGAACTTTCAGTAAAAATTTCAAGTTGAGTATAAGGGTGTTAGTTACTATGAAACATCATACTTATTTGTTGTTTAGGTCGAAGTTTAAAAGATGGCTTTTCCACTTCAATTTGTATATATATATATATATATATATATATATATATATATATATATATATATATATATATATATATATATATATATATATATATATATATGTATATATATATATATATATATATATATATATATATATATATATATATATATATATATATATATATATATATATATATATATATATATATATATATATATATATATATATATATATATATATATATATATATATATATTTAAATTTGTTAGATATACTATATAAATAAATATAATTTATTATTATTATAGTTTTAGCCATACATACAATTTATACATACAGCGAGCAGGGAAAACACCCTACTATAAACAATCAGTTTTATAAATATTCGTTTCAATTTTTATTCTCAACCACTGTTGAGTAGAAAGTTACTTGCTCGGGTAGTTCGTTCCAGTATTTTATTGATCTATTATATAGTTGGTTGAGTCTTGGAAGATATTTTGGAACATATTCACGTCTTATTTTAAGATGATGACCTCGTGACAAATAGTTAATAAATTTTGGTTTATTTATGTTATTAATTATATCAAATCTATGTATTAGTTTTGGATAAGATCACATCGTAGATTTGGATAAGATCGCATCGTAGGTGTCAAAACTCAAGTGATGATAGATTTAGTTATTTTAGTCTTTCGTAATATTGAAGATTTCTCAAGCTTAAAGCCCATTTCGTTACTCTACGTTGAACAGATTCAACCAAAGCTACGTCAGTTTTTAAATACGGGGCCCAAACAGACACTGCATATTCAAGGTGTGAATATATTAATATTTTTAAATATTTTATAGGAAATTACAACTAAATGTAATTTCCCATAAAATATTTAAAAATATCAAACACAAGTACATTTCATTTTTTATAATAGTTACGAGACCGGAGAACCAGAAGAAGATAAAATCTTATCATCAGTAATCTTTGGTAATAAATATTGGAAAAAGGTGTTTTGTTAGAAAAAATCATGAAAAGAATTTTGATTGGTAATAAGTTCGATTATGTTCTTTTTAAATTTTTGAGAGGTATTGGCTTCTTTAAGTTTACAACTCAGGCTTTTAAAATGGTTCCATAGCATTGGGCCACGATAGGAAATGGCAAAGTTCGTAAATTTTGATGTACGGAAAAGTTTTTTAAATCTTCCGGTAGATCGCGTGTTTGTATCGGTTTAATTTTTAAGAGAAAATATTTTCGAAAACCTTCGGCTCTTTTTTTGACTGATGTTGAAACATAAATTGTGTAATTTTGAAAATATTTAGTTCATAAAAATCAAGTGCCCTCATACTTTTTAGAAGAGGTTTAGCATTTGTTAAGCGATTTTGAAAATAAATAATGCGTGCTGCATGGTTCAGTTGTTTAAGGAGATAGTCAAGTAAAATGAATCTTTAAGTAATAAATCGATATTTCTTTACTAATATTGAATTTTACTGCATTATCCAGGAGGCGACGAGATAATTACTAAAACCAATGTGGGTGCGTAGGATTTTATATAAAAAAACTAAAATCTGTAAAAACCATAAAAAGATGTTCTTATTAGAATTCATTTAATCCTTTTATTTACAATTATTTTTTTAAAATGTGTCATCCAGGAAGTACCGAAACCAAGAAAATTTGTTCAGAATAATTTTTTGCTCACGCTAATCCGTACTTTGTGCGTCCGAGTATGCTAAGTATTTAGGAGGTACTTGATTGTTAAACCATATATCAGAAAGAGCAGCATACAAGCCTAATAAATGAGATGCTTTTGTATATCGGTAACAAGAAAATGACAACAACAAAGGCACGTTAATTAAAAAACATAAATTGGAATTTACAGTTCTCGTAAAATGCACAATAGCCCGTTAACTCACTATGCCCTATAGACGTTTTATCACGCCGATATTGTAATTATATATGTAATTTATTCGTGCCTTTAAGTCAAACAATAGCTTTTTCTCTAGCTATTAGTATTCATAAGATAATTTTTGGCGCTCTCTATTATATTTTAACTTTGTTTTTTATTATATACATATATTATTATATACATATATATTATACACATATATATGAAGAGATTATACAACTTTTTTATTTTATTTTATTTTGAAATATGTATTATTAAATAAAAAACGCTTAAATTTAGACTTCAAAATGAAGATTCGAAACGCGATTCAATTCGCGAATCAAGACCTGCTTTGATTCGATTCGAAACAAAAACTGCCGATTCGCAGGGTCCTAATATATATATATATATATATATATATATATATATATATATATATATATATATATATATATATATATATATACATATTAGGACCCTATATTCATACATATATACATATATATATATATATATATATATATTATATATATATATATATATATATATATATATATATATATATATATATATATATATATATATATATATATATATATGTATATACATATATATACATATATATATATATATATATATATGTGTATATATATATATATATATATATATATATATATATATATATATATATATATATACATATATATATATATATATATATATATATATATATATATATATATATATATATATATATATATATATATATATATATATATATGTATATATATATATATATATATATATATATATATATATATATATATATATATATATATGTATATATATATATATATATATATATATATATATATATATATATATATATATATATATATATATATATATATATATATATATATATATATATATATATATATATATATATATATATTATATTTTAACTTGGTTTGTTATTGCTTTTTCTGTGCTACACCTCAATTTTTTTTTTTTGACAGAATAAGGCGGTTTTGAAAAATGACATGTTTTTCTAAACGGTACTTTCAAAGGTAAAATTTTCGCGAGCACAATTAAAAAACGATCATTGATGTAAACAAAAACAAAGAGGTTCTGCTTTAAAAACAAGTTTTGTGCAACGAGTTGAATAATATCCAATCATTTTTCCTCTATATAATTTCGAAACAGTTTCAAAAGTACATAGTATACAAATTAGTATTGCAGCTGATTATAAATACGAGTTAGAGAGATTACTCAGAAACCTTCTTCGCAATTTCAAATGGAGAAATAATAATGTAATCAGTGAAATGAAATAATAATAATAATAAAAAAATAACGACTGAAATAATTTATAAATTATTACTTATTAATTGATTTAAGTGTTTTAAACTAATTTGGTTTTGTGGTAAAAATTATCGCTAAAATAACTAAAAATTAGAACAACCTCTATAGAGTAGTAAAATGCAAATAATGACAAGGTAAATAGTGTAACGAAGTGCCTCAAGACCTCTGCTATTTGTAACATTTATAAATTAGAAATTACTATTAGGAATGAATCTGGCTACAAAAAAAATTAAAAAAAAAAAAAAAAAACAATTTATGTCATTAAAAATAAATAAAACTTTCTAAAATTTTAATTTGCTCAAAAGTTGTTAGGCAATATCAGCATTAAAAGTTTATTTACATTTATTAGATCTACTTGAAAAGATTTCAAATGTTTTTCATATTTAATCACAAGGTCGGGGTTATTATGAGGTTAAAACAAGAGAGAGGGAAATGAATAGACAGATGGATAGATAAAGATATATATATATATATATATATATATATATATATATATATATATATATATATATATATATATATATATATATATATGTTTATTTATTGTTGTAATTCACATTATTTGATTAGTTAAGTATCAAATCAAAAAATAATTTATAAAGTATTATCATGAAAAATAAATCAAAGAAGTATTAGAAAAAAATGAAAGCCATGCAAATACCAATTATAAAAAGTTCTCCATCATTCAAAAAAGGATCCATACCAAGACAAAAAACTGTAGGGTTATTATTTTTTTGTAATTAATGTTGCGTTTATAATTTATATATTATAGGTTATTTATGTCATAGCTAGTTTTGTAACATTTTAAAAAATATATAATATAGCAATACTCTGGATGGCTATGGAAAAAGGGTGTTTTGAATAAAGGCAGTTTAACCAGTAGAAGATGGTTCGAAATAAAAGGAGATCAATTGTACTATTTTAAAAATAAAGGGGTAATTTTTTTAACCTTATTGGAATTGTAAAACTTTTAGTAAAAAGGTTTTTAGTTTGTTTGTAAAAAGGTATAAAGTTTTTTAGTTTGTTGGTCCTAACTAAAAACCAAGAAGCAATGTGAAGTCCCAAAAGGGATTCTGGTCTTAAAATTCACAATATTTCTCTATATTTCTAATCTTTGGCATTTAGGAACTCCAAAAATATTGAGAGACTCATATAATACTGTGTGTATATGTTAGTCCTTTTTTTTTTAATAGCTCACAAGTTTCTCAGCTCCTGGATAATAAAAATTTAAAATTAGGAAAAATCCTAAATTGTACCTAGTGCCAATCAGGGATGTGAAGCCCCATACCTCTGTTTGCCCAAGGTACAATTTACTTTTAACTAATTGCACTTACTTGTAATTCCACATATATTTCACAAAAATATATGTGGAATTGCCCAAATTGAAATTTTATTTTAAAATTATTATAAGAAGAAAACAATTTATTTTATGTAAACTCATCTTTTTAGGACAGTAATGTTCTTGGTGAAATATTTCTCCCAGGTAATGAAATAGTGAAGTTAAATACAACTGCTGATTTGAATGGAAAGTATGTGTTTGAAATAACTGGCAAGTTTATAAATTATTATTTTTATTATTTTTATTAAAGTAATTGAAAAGACAAACTTTTCATTTTTGTCAATACATTATTTTACAACATTTTTTTAACAACTAGTAAAGAAATTCTGAGAAAATTAAAAAGGCAGCAACATTAGAAATACATAACAAAAAGAATTTATGAAAAAATAAAAAAGACAAAAAATTAGTTTTACATTTTAACAACATTTTTTTTAACAGCTGGTAAAGAAAGACTTGGTCGACCTGTGACTATGTGTTCTGAAAGTTTATTACTTGGTGCTTCATCTCCTATGGAATTAGAAGGCTGGATAAAAGCTTTAAATAGAGTGATTTATTCAGTAAGCAGTTAAGCTTTTTTTAGTTTTTCTCATTTCCAACTTCAGATTCTTGTAAGATGTCAAATTTGTTTTATTGCCTTATTGCGTATATATACATAATAGGGCTGTTATCCATTTTTATTTATTTAAAATTTTTTTTATGTCTATCAAATCATAAACATAATGATCTATCAAAAACATAATTAATTTCAGTTTTAAAAAATTCAATATTTAAAAGATGGTGGTTTTGCAATGTAACATGAAATATAGTTTTTCTTGGTCATAAAAATCTAATGTACTTGCAAGATAGTTGATGATTTGATTGAAGTTGTAAAGTGACTAAGACTTTTTATGTTCAATAGATAAAATGGCCATATTAGGATTGAGCATAAATAGTTTTTTTTCAATTTATCAGGTTTGAAAAGCTCCATTATCAACTAGCTACTGATACAGTTTTATTTAAAAAAAGCCAATCGCTGCAAAAAGATTAGGTGCAAGACCTTGCAAGTCCCATTTTTGAATCTGAGACAAGATTTGAGTGCTTTTAAAACACTCAAATTCTTTAACACCTGCAGATCTTTTTTAGTGCTTGTTTATGACACTGTCAAATAAATTACTAACTTGAAAAAGTGGGCATGTCAAAAAAAGTATTATTTCAGAAACTAAAAAGAACTGTATATTAGGCAAAGAATGTTTCATTTATAGTAATGATTGCTTTTAGTTTATAGTATAGTGTGTTATTTATTGAATACTGTTAAAAATACAATTTTAATTTAGAACATGTTTTTTCCAGTTAATAACGATAAGACAACATAAAATAGACATCTAGTTTAATTAGAGTCATTGAATGCAATGCAAAATGCAATGTTTTTAATTTAATTTAAATTTAATGATTTTGATTTAGACATTTTTTCATACTTTTAATGACAACATACTTTTAATGTTGATTTTTACATTAATGACAGTTTATTAGGCAAGTAATAAATAAAAAATTTTGCAAATGAAATATATTTTGATAAAGAAACCAAATTAAATTCAAAATATTAAGAATTAGGAAATTTATTCTATTTTTGAAACTAAAAAAGTTATTTGATATAATTTTAAAGAGCTACTGAGCTGAAAGAAATCTTTAGTCATCTTCTTTATTATCACTGTCTAGTTAAGGTCAAATAAATGTGTTTTTTTGAAGAGGTTGATAAATGTGTTTTTGAAGAGGTTGATAAATGTGTTTTTGAAGAGGTTAATAAATGTGTTTTTGAAGAGGTTGATAAATGTGTTTTTGAAGAGGTTGATAAATGTGTTTTTGAAGAGGTTAATAAATGTGTTTTTGAAGAGGTTGATAAATGTGTTTTTGAAGAGGTTGATAAATGTGTTTTTGAAGAGGTTGATAAATGTGTTTTTGAAGAGGTTGATAAATGTGTTTTTGAAGAGGTTGATAAATGTGTTTTTGAAGAGGTTGATAAATGTGTTTTTGAAGAGGTTGATAAATGTGTTTTTGAAGAGGTTGATAAATGTGTTTTTGAAGAGGTTGATAAATGTGTTTTTGAAGAGGTTGATAAATGTGTTTTTGAAGAGGTTGATAAATGTGTTTTTGAAGAGGTTGATAAATGTGTTTTTTTGAAGAGGTTGATAAATGTGTTTTTGAAGAGGTTGATAAATGTGTTTTTGAAGAGGTTAATAAATGTGTTTTTGAAGAGGTTGATAAATGTGTTTTTGAAGAGGTTGATAAATGTGTTTTTGAAGAGGTTGATAAATGTGTTCTTGAAGAGGTTGATAAATGTGTTTTTTTGAAGTCTGTATTGCCAAGATTTTTTATGTAGTTAACAAAATCCTTTGTGTGCAATATAATATTTAGTTTTCAACAACTTATATTTGTTTTGATGCTTTTGTTTGGCTTTTTCAGTTTCGACTGTATATAGAACTTTTCTCTAAGGATCTCTTGGTATATTGCTGCTCTTTCATATATATATATATATATATATATATATATATATATATATATATATATATATATATATATATATATATATATATATATATATATATATATATATATATATATATATATATATATACGGTATTGTGAAAAAGTTAAGAATCAGTAAATAAAAAAAAAAAAATTAATTAATTTTTATTCTAAAGATAATAAAATAGTCTTTTTTTCAAACATATTAAAAAGAAAAAAGATTTTTTTTTTTTTTTGAAAATTAATTAATAGAACCTATAAAAATAAGGATTAAATATTAAGTGTTAAATTTTTTTCAATTTTTTTTGTGTGAAAAAGTTAAGAACCACAAAGAATTTTTTGTGCTAAATGCGGTGAAAACGAGTTCTTTTAATTGATTTTTACCTTTTTATTTAAATATTCTATTAATGACCTGAGTCATTACTAAAAAATTTAAAATATTAAAAAAAAGTATTCAATTTTAAACAAAAAAAAATTATTTTCTTTTAAAAAAATGAGCAGAAAAGCTATTATCTATGAAGATCGTGTAAAAGTAGTGCATTTTCACCAAGAAATAAAACCGCTCGTGAACTTGGAAAAATAATAAATTGACCAAATAAATAGTTCGGTGCTAACAATCATCAAAAGATTCAGGGAGACAAAATCTTATGTAGATTGCCATCGTTCTGGAAGACTGCGTTTGATGCACTTGATGTACTTGAGCAAAGCGTTCTGTTCATTTTTCAGCAAGACAATGCACCATGTCACAGGGCTAAAATTGTCTCTGAATGGTTCAAAAGCAAAAGTATTGAGCGTCTAACTTGGCCACCAAATAGCCCAGATCTAAATTGCATTGAAAATCTTTGGAGTTGGCTTGATAAAGAGATTGCCAAGAAAGCACTAAGGAGCCTTGAGGAATTGCACAATATTTTACCAACAATACTTGGAAATATTCCCAAACATATTTTAGAGAATTTAATAGATTATAGAGAGTTTAAATAATAATAAATTTTCTAAAATTTATTATTATTTTTTTACCAGAAAGATATTTGACTAAATAAAAATTTAAAAATAAAAATAAATTATGATTTGTTTTTTGATGGTTCTTAAATTTTTCACAATACTATATATATATATATATATATATATATATATATATATATATATATATATATATATATATATATATATATATACATATATATATATATATATATATATATATATATATATATATATATATATATATATATATATATATATATATATATATATATATATATATATATATATATTATATATATATATATATATATATATATATATATATATACATACACACATATAACCCTCAGAATTAGGCTCAGCATTCGGCATTGCCGACCTAACTGCCAACCTAGAAGTGTTTAAAGTTGGCAAAAAATCGCCAACCTCGTTTCTATGTTTTATGGTCAAACCTTTGTTTTACATTTTTTCTGTTGGCCATATGCCAACCTCTAATAGATTAATGTTGGCAAATTATTGCAGACTTTATTTTTTTTATTTCCAAGGGCTGTATATATATATACAATGTACTAAACAATCATTATGATTATTTAGTACAAATCATTTTTTTACTTTTTTCATTCTATATAAATTACACAAATTAGTTACAAAAATAGTAGCCAAAATTAGTTTTATGAAAGAAAGAAAAATAAAAATGACAAATTTTTTAGGTCTGAAGTTATCCATTTTATTGTAGGTCTGAAGTTATCCATTTTGTTGTTGGTCTGAAGTTATCCATTTTGTTGTAGGACTAAGGACTAAAAAAAATTTTCAAAATCATTGTGGTTTTGGAAATTTAGTTCTGTTATATAATTTAAATGTTGAATCTAAATTTGTGAATGATTTTTATTGTTTATTAATTAGTATAACTTTATTTTATATATCACTTTATATCATTTCTTTTTTGTTACACCCATTTAGTATTATTATTAGAATATTATTGAATTGAAATTGAATTTAGCCTTTTGGTGGTGGAATGTTTGGTCGCTCAATTGCTGAGACAGTTAAAATAGACTCACTCAAAGGTGGAGGAATGGTTCCTATTATTGTTGAAAAATGTGTTGAATTTATTCGAAAATATGGTATTTTTAAAAATATTATTATATATTTATTTATGGATTTATAAAAATATTTTTAAGTTTATCTTAAATCATGTAAATAAATAAAAAATGTAAGTTTAATTATTGTACATAATGAAGAGTTTTTTTTTTACTTTGTGACATGAATAGATTAATAGAACAAGATTATTATTATATTTACCATGTTACCAGAAGTTTCCTGTTGTATGTTACCATACAACAGCTACTTCATGATCATGAGTTCACCATATTCACTTGTAGATTTTCATATGAATGCATTACAATTTTGATTGACCATTTCTATTCAGATTTATTATTTTTCAAAAATTTAAATCAATTATAATAGATTTTTAAAGTGTCTAAGTACTGCTAAAATACAGTTAAATCAATGATAATAGGTTTTTAAAATGTCTAAGTGCAGCTAAAACACAGTTAAATCAATGGTAATAGATTTTTAAAATGTCTAAGTGCAGGTAAAGTAAAAGTAAAGGTTCATTTTTTTTTTTTTTTTTTGCTTGTGTTCTTCAAAACGATTAAATGACAAAATAGTGACAAAAAATAAAACAGGGAAAGTGTATTATTTTATTATAAATTAAAATAAATTAAAACTTATGTAATAAAGGTTAATGCTGTAAAAGTTGTGTTGTGTGTTAAGAATTCGTTATTTTCAGTTTTTATTTAAAAAGCAATGTTCAATAAATAAAACTTTAAAAATTGTTTTTTCATAAATAATCTTTATAAAATGAAATATAGTAATAAGTAATAGATAATAAAGAGCATTCATTTAATAATAAATACTAAATTTATGAAATATTAATACTAAATTTATTAAATATTAAATGCAGGCTAGTTAGAAATAGAATATAATGAAAATATTTTCTTCATAGATACATTTTACTTGTTTTATTTTGCTTCAAGAGATAAATGGGCTGCGAGGAAACACCTGTTTACATTTATATTAACAAATAAACAATATATTTAGGTTTAGACGTTGAAGGTATTTTTAGAGTCCCGGGTCAGCAAGAAGATGTGGAAAGTCTCAAATCTGCATTTAATAAAGGTATTTTGTGTTTTTTTATCAATGTTGTAGTGGTGTAATGATAGCTTGCTTTGTAGACAAAAGTTTTTTATCCCAACGGCGATCTGTGTAGTAGTACCACACTCAACTTGTACAGAGGTACATCCATCTTGTTTTTCAAATTTTTGCCTAAAATCATTACAAATATCAAAAACCTTGGAGAGAGCAACACTTGTTTAAAGTGAAGATGTTTTGGGATTAATTAAGTCTTAACTTATTAATCAAATCTTAACTTGTTAGTTAAATACTAATTATCATTTTTTATAAGTTATTAGTTAAATACTAATTATTGTTTTTTATAAGTTATTGCATAATTTATGTTTAAAGAGTGTTAGATATAACTGAGTAGAAGAACAAAAAAATTAAATAGACTTTTTGTTGGGCACTTATAATTCCATTTAATATGATTTATAAATTAAATCTATTTGTAAAAATTAGGTGAAAATCCAGATCTTCATATTGAAAAGCATAAAATTGATGTAGTTGCTTCGGTATTAAAGCAATATATTGGTGATCTTCCAGAGCCTGTTATCCCATCAGAAAACTGGGATCAATTCATAGCTGTGGGTGCATGTGAGCATGATTTTCTGTTAGTTTAACAATATATTAGCACTGTTTTATCAACTTTTAATATTTAAAAGTATTAAGGCTTTATCTTTTTTCGTTTTAGTACATAGTATAAACCCTTCAGCTGCACTTGCAAAAATTGAATATTTACTTCAAAGAATTCCTAGGGTTCATTATAATATGCTAAAATATTTGTGGTAAGTCTAAACTTTTTATTCGAAATTATTATTTTGAAATTTATTGTATTGTGTGACAAAAGTATGTACTATGTATTTATTTATAGTAGATTTCTCTTTGAACTTCAACTTCACTGTGAATCAACTAAAATGTCTGTTTCAAACCTGGCATTAGTATTTGCTCCGAACATTTTGAGACCTCAGGTAAAAAAAAAAAAAAACTTCCACCAATCAAATTTTTTACATTATTTATTTATAAATTAGGTTATTAAAAGTCAGTACGATATTTTCCTAAAAATTTCTGGTGCACTTTTAAATAGGTTTTTAGTTAAAATTATTTTTACTTCAGTTTTTCATTTTTTTTCAAATTTGACATCATATAGAAGCCACTGAAATGAATTTTTTCTAAAACCGTAAAAAATTTTAAAAATCAAAAGGTACTAAACTTTATACTAACTAACTAAACTAATTAACTAAATAGTTGCCTAAAATAAAAAACTTTTGAAATTATTTTTAAATCTAATTATAATATACCCAAGTTACACATTTTTACAAAAAGGTTTTATTACTGTTTTATTACCCACTGTAAATTGTTTATTAATGAATATTCTCTCCTAGTTCCAAAATTTTATATGTAATTGTGCAGACTGGATAAGTTCTGTTCTTTTCATAATGTTAATTATGAGAAAAACAGAACTTACCCAGTTGGTAAATTCTATTCTTCTTCTTTTTTAGAGTACTAATTTGACAGATTCAATCTGTTACTCAAATTTAACATATTCTGTAAAATTAATGAATAGTTTGTTGATGTCACTAAATACTCATAGTATAAGTATTAAAAACCATTTTATTGACAAATAGTTAAAGTAGAATTATTCTTCATAATCTATATTCCCTTTGTAACAAAATGTTTGTATAAACCTAACAAACTATTTTATAGTATTCATTTAAAGATAAGCAACTTAGTAACATTGTTAGTATTAGATTACGTTAGTATTAGAGTAATGTTGATGATGAGATGAGGGTTTTGGATGGGATCAAGAGTAATAAACATTTTGTAGTTGTAAAACTAGATAAATAGTTAGGTGAATAAAAAAGTTGACTGAAATAAAAATTTTACAAACTCAATAATCCAGCCACCTTATTTTTTTAAACTCGATTCAAGGTATTTTTTTTACAAAAGGTTATTTATAAATTATGATGTTTTTAATTTAAAGTTTATGTGCACTGCGTATTAGCTAAAAAATAGTATCTAACACTGCATATCCATATGATTTCAATGGCTTCTTCTGAAGCAAATTGTTTTAGTTTCCTTCTTTGCTGCAGAATGAGCATAGAAAACCTAAACTTACAAAGTATGTTAATTCTATACTTGTTTTAAACATAAAAATGGAATAGAATATCTATATAAATAAAATAATCCAGACAATTATGTTTTTTTTAGATATATTTTAGTTTTTATAGCCACATAACTAAAATTAAAATAAGTAAAATATGCTATGTAATTATATTGATAAATGTTTTTATCTTTTGAATTTATTTTTTTCATATTTTATGTATTTATTAGCAAGGTTAAATAGAATGAAGATTTTAAAGCTTGCTTTTGCTTAGAAAAATGAGATACTAAGGTTGCCGAATATCTCTTTATATATCTTTACAATATTGGTTATTATATTATAAAATATTATTATTTTGTTATAGTTTGTATTAGTTAATATTTGTTACAATATAATATAATTGACTTCCACTTTTTAATTAAACTTTTAAAAAAATAAATAGATGAATGATCAGATTTTAAGTAATGGAGAGTAAAATTTTTTTTAGACAAATGATTTTATATTTTAAGTTAAGAACTTTCCAAAAATATGTAAATATCAATGTACCATGAAATCATAAAATATCTGATTTTTTCTTAAAGAAACACTGTTTCTTTTCTATGTAACCTCTATTCTAACTACCATTTGGGTGCTTAAAAATTGTCACACCCAAGTTATTTTGCAAAATGCAAATCATTGATTTTAAAAAATGATTTAAGAGCCACATGCTTTAACTAATTCCTCATGAGACTTTTTTTGGTTTCTGATTATATTTATTTTTCTTTTAACAATCCAGACAATGTTTGCTTTGGAATGTCTTATTTCATTGGTATTGATAGAGATGGTTCTATTTTACCAGTATAAATTACATAACTTAAGCAGGACTTATGGTATGGCTGTCATTTTATACTAAGCTGCCAGAAGAAATTAAAAGGGAATTTAAAATCTGTTCATCTGACTAATCCAGTCTGACTTTTATTATTAAATTTAAAGTTAAATTAATTATTATTAAATTTAAAATTAAATTATTATTAAATTTAAGATTAAAAATCTGTTCATATGACTAATCCATGACTAAAGTCTGACTAATCCAGAGTCCAAGTTAAAGTCTAACTTTTGGACTAAAATTTTAACATGTATTGTTATTTTATGGTGAGACATTTTTAGACATTTGTTGTTGTTTTTTAGAACAATGAAGATCCAGAAAACTTGTTGAAATCTTTAGCTTCAGCCAATGCTACTACCATGGCTTTAATAGTTAACCAAAATATTTTGTTCCCAGTGACACCAGATGAAAAGTATTATCAACCAATAGCAGTTAGTGATGAAAAGTGAGATTTTCTTTTCTTTTCTTGCTTTTCAATAATAAAGGAATATAAAAAGTATGTATTTTGCAATTTTAAAATACTTTAAAATAAAAACTTCTATAGTTCTTTTAATGCAAAAAATAAACCAGTTGTTAATAATAACTCTAAAACCTCGTGCCACCTCTCAGTGGCACATAATGGAGTTTTTAAGGGTAAAGGAATAGACCATTTATAAAAACAAAAAGAAATTAAATTTTTTTGTTTTACAACATATAAAAGTATATATTATCTGAAAATAATTTTTGATTAGATAAATATAGATAAATATATCTTTATGAGTATTTATACTTATTTATACAATATACTATATATATATATATATATATATATATATATATATATATATATATATATATATATATATATATATATATATATATATATATATATATATATATATATATATATATATATATATATATATATATATATATATATACATATATATATATATATATATATATATATATATATATATATATATATACATATATATATATATATATATATATATATATATATATATATATATACATATATATATATATATATATATATATATATATATATATATATATATATATATATATATATATATATATATATATATATATATATATATATATTTTAAAACTAACTTACTCATTCTGATAAGTTTGCAAGCAACCACTATTAAGTTATTAAGTTTCTAGAAAAAAAGGTATAGGGTTAAGGAGCAAGAAAATAGTTAAATGAAGATTTACAAAGTTGTAGGTTGTGTGAGTAATGAAAACATGAAGATGAAGATTTTTGAGATACTGTTGATGTGCAAGGAAATAAATTAGATGAATAAAAACTTTTATAGCATGGAGGATAGATACAGGAAAAAAGATGTGACTTTGCTAAATAATAAGCCAAGCCAGAATGAGTTTTGTTTGATTGAAGTAGAGATGACAGCTTATTTGAGCAGAGACTATAATAGTATTTGTAGAGAAAAGAAAGTAATGCAACCTTACAATGATGGAAAAGTGGCTCAAGCTTGGCAGATAAAACAAGTCTAACTACATTTACAATGTATTTTTGGACTTTGTCTGAGAGTAAGAGTGTTGTTATTTATCAATATAGGTATGTCAGCAATATTGCGATAGCTGTTTAGAGTAAATAACTGAGATTCCTTGGAGTTAAAATCCACAAACTACTTCATGCTCCAAGTTGTTGTAGTTGAAAACTACTTCATGCTCCAAGTTGTTGTAGTTGAAAACTACTTCATGCTCCAAGTTGTTGTAGTTGAAAACTACTTCATGCTCCAAGTTGTTGTAGTTGAAAACTACTTCATGCTCCAAGTTGTTGTAGTTGAAAACTACTTCATGCTCCAAGTTGTTGTAGTTGAAAACTACTTCATGCTCCAAGTTGTTGTAGTTGAAAACTACTTCATGCTCCAAGTTGTTGTAGTTGAAAACTACTTCATGCTCCAAGTTGTTGTAGTTGAAAACTACTTCATGCTCCAAGTTGTTGTAGTTGAAAACTACTTCATGCTCCAAGTTGTTGTAGTTGAAAACTACTTCATGCTCCAAGTTGTTGTAGTTGAAAACTACTTCATGCTCCAAGTTGTTGTAGTTGAAAACTACTTCATGCTCCAAGTTGTTGTAGTTGAAAACTACTTCATGCTCCAAGTTGTTGTAGTTGAAAACTACTTCATGCTCCAAGTTGTTACAGAAGAGACCAGATTAAAGATCTGCTTGTTTTAAGCAATCAAAAAAAATTTTTGTCAAGACAAGAGTATAAAGTTGAGTTTTCAGCAAATAGAGCCACTTTAGATGTTAAATTTTCATAAAGATTGTTATTGTAGAAGATTAAAATTGAGGATTGACTTTAGCATTGAAAGCCAGAATGATTTGGATGTCTAACAATAGGTTAATCTATTTAACTGGATATTGCTAGAAAAATATGGACATGTATGGAATAAAGTTTGGAATGGCTAGAAAAGTATGGAATAAAGTATGGAGCGGCTACAAAAGTATGGCCATTAGATTCAAGAGTCAAATTAGAGGAAATGGATTAGAGATGCAATGTTATGACACTGTTGAAGATTTTCTAAAAATCTCAGAACCTAACATCTGAAATAAGATACATGATTTAGTAAACTGAGAATAATGGCTCTTAGCATCAGACAGGGTCTTTTTACATTTACTTTTTCCAATAATAACATTTGACATTTGTTCTCAAGAGAGATTTTTTGTCTTGGAAAAAGACAAAAAAAAGATTCTGAAATTTTTTTTTAATTTTTAAATCATTTATTTTAACTTTTGAACAAAAAGAATTGTTAGTCCATTGCATTTATGATGAGCAAATTGAACTGATGAAAACAATTTTAACTTGTTTTATTCCAACTTATTTTGTTCTAAAGATGATAAAAATTATAACAGCAACATAAAAACAGGAAGTTAAAATTTTTAAATCTAAAAGATAAAAAAATGTATCTATATTTGAATTATATAGAACTTGGAAATAATGCAGAAAAATATTTGTCAAGAATTGTCAATTCATTCAAAATCCTGACAAATCATCGTTTTTTAAAACCTTGCAAAAGCGTACTTTGAATCATCACCTACCTTGTTAAGACCTTGCTTACCTTAAATTATTAGTTTACTTACTTGATAAATTTTCCTTTAACAACTCTTTATTAAATTGCCTCTCTGCGATTGACCCAGTTCTCAAGGTCACGAAATTATAGAGAGTATGCTAAAAAAATTCCCAAATTGCTTTCTCACTGTAAATATAAATAAAGTAGTATTTAATTGAGAAGTTATGCAGCTTCAGATAGATGTAGCGCTTCCACCCATATTTTTTGATGGAAAGCCAGTACTTGTACTCAGTCTCATCCCAGTCGTTAGTACTCAGTCTCGACTATTATTGTGCAGAATTTTTTAAGTGTAAAAAGTATTTAGAGCTCAGTAAAGTTATCAAGGCATGCCTAAATATATTCAGTAGTCCTCACATTGAGCAATCATTCAGCATGATGAACACCATAGTTAACAAAAAGACAAACCATCAATGTACTCTGCATATCAATTCTTAGCAAACAAGACCACATCGCTAGGGTACTTTAAAAGACAAGATATATTGCATGACCCAGTTAACATAAACATCTGTGGTCATTTGCGAACTGCAAGCAAACGCTATATTAAAAAAATGAAATTCCATTAGTGAAACAGAAAAGTTGAAGAATATTTTTTAAATATAAATTCAACTTGCAAAAAAAAATCCCCTCACATGAACGGTACAAAATAGTTAAGGAATCTAATTAATGATATGCAAAACTTTTGATTGTAGAGAAATTCAACAAAACATAATTATTCAGTAGTTTTTAGTTACTTTATTTATCCCTTTAGCAACGTTCCAGATTTTACCCACATATCATAGTCAGTTTGTTGACCATAAATTTTTCCGGGATTTTCCAGATTTTTTATAAAAATAATTTTTTTTTTTTATAGGAAAAAATTTCCAGGATTTTCATAAAGTCAAAAGCTTATCTATGCCCATCTTTATGTTTTTCTGAACCATAACTTACAACTTTTTAGTCTTCTGTCAACCATTTCCTTGCTCTTTAATTTTATTTTTTGTTTTCTAGTAACTCCAAACTTAATAGTGGTTGTTTGCAGCCTTGAAAAAATGAAAAAAATTATATGGTAAAAAATTATATAAATGTATAAATAATAATTTTACATAGAGACTAAGAATTGCCATTGGTTATTATATAAATTGCTAGCTATTATATAAATTTCTGTTTGCAAATGACTATACTTTGTCTAATCAATTGTGCCTCAACTGATGTATTTGTTTGATGTGCCTCTACTGCATCATTTGGATAAAAGATCACACAATCCAAACAAAACAACTTGTTTGATATCTATCTATAAAAAACAACTAATTGTATGATAATGACACTGGTAGTAGCTAATCTGACTTGAAGCTCATCCACCATTCAATTGCTTTTAGATGCTTAAAAAGCAGTAAAACTACCCCCGTCATTCTACCTTAAGCTTGTTATTTATCATGTCTTTCCAAGCTGTCTGTCAAAAATGTGAGAGAGTTGTTTGCTTAAAATATCAAAAATGGATAGCACATAGGTACGTGGTTGCCAGCTGCCAGCACTGTTAATTTGTGGTCAAGAAGAGAGTTGATGTGTTGCATCTAACACTTTTAATAATTTGACTAATAAAATCAAAACTGTGTAGACATAAATAAGATAATCGACCATATGTTTATTAAATCATCATAAGTAGCTGATGATTTGGTAAACATATGGTCGAGAGCCAAAAATTTTATATAACAGCATTCTAAAAAGCTTGGATAAATTGGTTATTGATTCAAAACGATTGAGGAAATATGTTGATAAAATGAAAAATTCATAGATGTTTCAGTGCGGACTTGGTTTGTTCCATAAAGTATTTGACGTTTGTACTTGCAAATGTGTTAATAGTGGTATAAGGGACTGGTCAAAATGCCATTGTTCCATCAAAGTTCCTTTTAAGGAATGTTTTAGCTTGATCAAAAGAGTAATCGTAAAATGTACAATTGGCCAGATTGACCAAGAAGAAAAATTGGTAAAGAACTGGAAATTCAGCTTGGAAAAAAGAATGCAGAAACATGCCAAGATTGTGAAATTCAGTTTGGAAAAAAAATGCAGAATCATGCCAATCTTCTTTATCGACAATAACTCTTTCCTGCAAGAGTGATAAAGAAAGCAGTTGTTATGAATATGATAATCAATATGACAAAGCTACCGGTTCATAAGACAGCTCACATAGTGGACATGATCCTAAATTTTACAATTTTGTTTTTCAGCACAAATAACTCTTTCTAACAATGGAATGAACAGGAGTTAGCAACTAAGATGCGTGCAAAATTGTTAACGCTTGCTTGAAAGATATTATATCATTTGATTCACCACAATACATATTTGATCTAGCAAAATTTGGACA